TCACAGAGCTTTAGAGATTCTTAAGAACTGAAGTGGAGCAGAAAGGAGCAGATAAAAATTCACATATGCTCAGTTTTCATTGTGCCCTCAGACTATTAACCACAGATGCTACAGAATAGTTTCTGGACTTTGTGCCCCAGATTTGGGGCAAACGTCTTACAACGTACATTTTGTCCTGCATTTCTTCTTGTACATAGTTTTGGCTAAAAACTGTGAACACAATCAAAAACAAACCTGTCCTTCATCTGCATGTTGTTAAGAAAACGTGTTTTCTTTCTTTTTTTTCATCCTCTGTATATATTGTACTTATTATTATTATTGTTATTATTGTTATGTTTAATGCTTCTGTGTTCGTCTGTTCTTTTTTCTTTTTTCTTTTTTTTAATTTTGCTGCTGTGACAATGTAAATTCCCCTGGTGTGGGGAGAAATAAAGGATTATTATCATATCTTATGTAATCAGTCAAGAAAGCCCAGTGTTATTGTTGTTGTTGTTGTTGTTGTTACTTTAACGTTTTAACTGTGTCTTTAGACTGTGGGAATAAAACTCACATCTACTGTGAGGCGGTAAAAACTGTCCCTCCTCTATAAAGAAGAAAATGCTGTCGTGTTAACATGAGTCATCTCAGCTGTGCAGTTTGCTGTAAACAGATAAACAACATGTAAAGAAAAGTAGATAACAGCTTTAAAAACAATGTCATTGCATTCTGGTAAAAATAATTCTAATGATCTCATATTAATAACTCTAATAGTGTTAATTTGTAATATTATGTTACGTATATTTCATTATGTCAAACATGTCCCACATAGGAAATGATCATTACTGCATTTTGTTAAAAATCCGTTTTTTCCAATTGTACTGCTTATGTTTTTTTTTTTAATTATCTTTTTAGGTGTAGAATGATGCTTTTGTGGCCACAATCCTGAGTCCTGGGACGCTTTTTTAATAGTAAATAAACAATAATAAACACCACACTGGCTGGATGTCAGTTTCTGTTTTGTTGTGTTTTATCTGCTCCTTGGTGCTAAAAATACAAACACTGCTGCTGAGCTTCTGTGTCAGAAATAGAACATACGTCACTGTTAGCAGTTCACACCTGAAACATGGTCAAGTGTCTCCACAAACAACTAAACCACAAACAGCAGCTGCTGATAACTTAGCAGCTGTGGCCAATTACAGCAGGTCTGTCAGTGTCACACATGTTCAGCTCCAACACAAGAGATGCTTTATGAACATAGTTTAAAGTTATGTTCAGAAAAAACCACCTTGTAGTAAAGTTTATAAGGTTAATAATGTGGCAGTCATGGACAAGCAGCAGTTATTACTTGGTGTCTATGAAGGAGGAGGAAAGTCCTGTGTGTCACACACTGCAGTAAAGTTACAGTCACATTATAACAGTAATGGTCTGTTTGTCCAAAATCTTATACTTTGCATTAACACCAGGCTACTATAAATACTGACAGCATGAACTGAACAAAAATGTTTACAAAATACTGGACGAAGTAGTGTGTTGACTTAGCCCACTAAGGATATTAACAGAATATATCATTAAACTGATGGACTAAGATAGGACAACTTTTTAACACTACGATTTTTCATTATATTACATTACATTTCTTTAGTGTCTAAAATATATTAGAGACTGGAATTTGTCAAACATTGTTGCCTATGGGCTGCAGGTGGCTCAGTGGTTAGCACCGTCGCCTCACAGCTAGAAGGTCGCCGGTTCGCATCCCGGTGAGGACACCCGGGATCTTCCTGTGGAGTCTCCATGTTCTCCCCGTGCAGCGTGGGTTCTCTCCGGGTTCTCCGGCTTCCTCCCACATGGTCCATAAACATTAATCAGCTGGGATAGACTCCAGCCCCCTGTGACCCTAGTGAGGATTAAGTGGCATATAGATAATGGTTGAACATTGCCTTTGAATAAATTAATAAAAATGTATTTTGCTTTATTGTTTATTGTTTATTTTAGTGCTATATAGTTCATTTGTAAATGTTACACAGAGCTGGTAAATCTCAGATCTGGATCATAAAGATCAAACTCTGTTATTCATGGTTTATGCCAGCAGTTCACAGTTTATAAGTTTTTAAAGAAGAAAGTCTTGTTATGTACAGGTAACTACAGTTAAAGTGAATGTTGATTTCCATGGCAACCCTATATAAACAAAGCATATTATTGGAAAGTGCGGTTACAGTATTAAACAGTGAACCTCATAAAGGCCTTCATCAATGTAACAGTAATTAACTGTGAAAGTAAATTGCAATTGTAACACTGAAAATACTGTAGAAGACCACAGCTGCCAATATTTTGTTGTAATTTGGTTACAGTGCAGCTGAGCTGATAGCCACACGTCCACCAATCAGGAGGCCCACCACTGAAAGGTGACTGTTTCAGTGACAATAATGATTCACTATAACTGCATGAATATTGGGCTCTAAGAACCTGATCAGACATTGAACACCTGCACTTTTAAAGCCAACGAGCACGCCTGTAGCTAACAAGGTTACTATGTGAGGTCAGTACTTTGGTCTACATGTGAGGTGCAGTCCAGTGTCAGTCTACTTCTGCACCAGTAGCAGGTGTGCTGAAGGATAAGTTTACCAAACAAAGCTAATGCAAGCTTCCATCCATGCAAGGCCTTAAGTTTTAAGTTTAACAGTCTTTATAAACTTTGTGAAAGAGAGAAGGAACAGAAAGAGAAGGGAGAATATTTCAGAAGTTAT